CATCGCTACTAGTAGCAAGAAGCTACTAGGGGATCCTTGGCCTTGCTACTGGGAGCAAGGACGCTACTAACTAGGGGCTCCTGGCATCGCTACTAGTAACAAGGGAGCAAAGACACTACTAAGGGGCTCCTGGCATCGCTACTAGTAACAAGAAGCTACTAGGGGAGCTTTGGCCTTGCTACTGGGAGCAAGGACGCTACTAACTAGGGGCTCCTGGCATCGCTACTAGTAACAAGAAGCTACTAGGGGATCCTTGGCCTTGCTACTGGGAGCAAAGACACTACTAACTAGGGGCTCCTGGCATCGCTACTAGTAACAAGAAGCTACTAAAATCTTTGACAACTGATCAATGCCGCACCGGCAAAGGGATGTAGATTCGCTTCTCGAATCGGCGGCGAATCGCCGAGTCCAGGTCCTGGAGAGCAGGTCGCCACGGCGTTGGTTCCAACGAACAAAATCAGAGTGCCGAGACTTCATGGGTTGCTTCTCTAATGGTGATTGAATGTTCCGAGACTGAAACCAATCTACCGTGTTGAGACTAGTTGAAACATGTTTTGATTACTTTGCTTGAGTCAACGTCGCTGGCATTGTGCTGAGACTACAGTCCATCTAGCAAGTCCTTGGAAAGACTGTTAATTGCGAAAATGGTCAATAGGTATGATAGTTTTTCTATAAGCGCTCGCAGAACTTCAAGATGCTTCAAGTACCAGTGCCTAGACTCTCTAGACATGAGTCTCCCTCGGGTCCCAGGGAGTGTTTGTTGCCCCCAAGACCAATATCTGAGAGCTATCTTTGCCAACCTCATCAGCATCAAGAAGCCGACTGCGTCTGCAACTTTCAATGGATGAGACAGGCAGGAACCACGGACACCAACAAAGTAAATTCAAAAACTTGGCCAACGCCAAAGCTGGGCAAATATCATATATATATACAAGATTCCAAGAGTGAATTCTTGTAAAAGGAGAGGATCATCTCAAAGGCTGATCCTATGAATTCACACGTTTTTTTATTGAGGCATGGGCACCATCCATCCTGGCGAGGCTGAAAGGGTGGTATTCGCTGCAAGGATATTTCTGATGTCTGACTGTCAATCATGCTGTTTGCTTTGGCACATCCCTAATCAGCAGTCAGTAGTTACTGACACATACTGAATCTATTTTGTTTTGCAGCATGCAGGCAGGCTCTTATTGGGAGTAGAAAAACATGTACAATTGCAAGCATGTTGACATGTTGACTCATCGGGGCTTGGGAGACTTTTGCAGTCAGTATCACTGTATCACTCCTTGAAAGGCATTGAACACTTTGCGTACAACAACTACATGGTAATATATATATATAATTAAATACGATTTCTGGTAACTATGCAAGCTGCAAGCGAATGGTGGAAGAAACTCTTGGGTACTGCACAGTGCCCGGATTCCAAAGTTAACATAGCATCAAGGATACAAAGAGATCATAAAATGCCATGCGTCCATCAAAACATGTCCATTCGGTCACTTTCCAACCAAAACTCCAGCCAGTGTGGCTGCGCCAGGAATTCGGTCTTGATCCGTCGGGCAGCATCAGACTCGCCAGACTCTCCGCGGGCGCCACAAAGGGAGTCGACCTGCGCTACGGACCATCCACATCGCACCGCATCGCAACCGCTTAGGCCATCAGATCAGAAAGCATGGTAAACGAAAAAAAAAAAAGCGAGCAGCGATTCCAATACACATGAGAGTGTGTTGACAACAATGGCTAGCTCGAGTTGTTAATACTGCCGCCTGTCGGCTAAGTTTCTGCTCAGGAATATTCTGGGGTTCACTCCAACACCCTAGACTGTTAAAAGAAAAAACATGCAATTCAGGTGCTAAATAGCCTAATTATATATATATACCTGAGAAAGGAGAGGACGAAAGCCAGCGAGAGACCAATATGGTAGTGCAAGACTGGGAGTAAAAAATGGCGGAGCACTTATTGTTGAATGCCTGTAGCTTTCGTGGAGCTTGTATCAACGTGGAGTAGATCAAGATCGGAGCACAGCATGAAGTGCATCACCAAACCACTTGTTCGATCCTTTCCTGACCCTACTTTTGAACGCTCTCCCCCGCCAGGCTCAAGGCTCGACCTCCCAAAAGTGGCCTCTGCGCGACCACCCCCCCCCACCCCCCCTATTCACTTTGTGGTATATTTTTACCTTCTTTTTTGCCACCTCTTTTGATTTTTTTTCTGGCGAATCTTCTGACATTATGTCTGGCATTCTTTCTAGCATATCTTCTGACATTTTCTCGGGCATATCTTCGGACATTCTTTCTGGCATATCTCGTGACATTCTATCTGGCACATCTTTTGACATTCTATCTAGCAATGTGTGTGGCTGAATGCACTGACGAAGATGGTCCTGGTGAAGGTGCAAGGAACTGCAAAAAACCTGCAGGTAGTTAACTGACAATTAACAATACGTGAGCCAACACGAAAAACACCAGCGATGCCCGAAATAGTTTTGTTCGCTGTTGTTGGCCATATTTTGGGCATCGTGTTTAAGTTTAAGTCTTGCGCACCTGGCCACAGAGAGTTGCTGCTAAACGCCCCTCGCTTGCTCGCTACGAAACCTCAGAGCTGCAGCCTGCTAAAGCTTGTCCAGAAATGCCCCTGATCTGTGCATGCCCCAGATCTAAGCAAAACAATCAGACTCCGTATAGAGATACATAATGAAGGCCCGAAAAACATCCTTTCGGGCATCGTGTTGAACGCTTCCGCGTGTCCCGCCTTGAGTTCACCCTCGCCCAACTGGACATACTCACATCGTTCGCTCTGAGCGCGTTCAGTCTTTGTTGTTCGGTCCTTCTTGGTATGATCAGAGCTACACAGTCCCTATGCCCTGCTCAGGAGTAGAAAAATTGTCTCCAGACCCCTTCATGATGCTAATGATGCACCGCTCGGCGTCATTTACATCACTTGCACCGCCAAACCACTTTTTTGATGCTTTCCTGACCCTACTTTTGAACGCTCGCCCCCACCAGGCTCAAGGTTCAACCTCCCAAAAGTGGCCTCTGCACGACCACCCCCCCCCACACCCCCTTTATTCACTTCGTTCACCTTAAAAGCTCAAGCCTTGCCTATCGGCTGGCTTTCGTGAAAAATCACTTAGTTATTTCGAGTGATCCCCACCATGACTATCTTCTAACATTTCCAGTGATCCCCACCAATTGTCCGGGTGAAGGTGCAAGGAACTGAGAAGTAACAAAACGTGAGCCAACAGGACAAAAACAGCGATGCCCGAAATATGTGTTTTTTCGCGGTGATCGGCGAAATTTCGGTACAAAAACAGCGATGCCCGAAATATATGTTTTTTCGCGGTGATCGGCGATATTTCGGGCATCGTGTTGAAGTCTTCCACACATGGCCACGGAAGAAAAAAAAACTAAGTTATTTCGAGTGATCCCCATCATGACTATCTTCTGACATTTCCAGTGATCCCCACCATGACTATCTTCTGACATTTTATCTGGCAAATCGTCTGACATTATTTCTGGCATATCTTGTGGCATGCTTTCTGGCAAATCTTCTGATTCTGACATTCTACCTGGCCTTTCTGCTAATGGCCACAGAAAAAAATCACTTAGTTATTTCGAGTGATCCCCACCGTGACTATCTACTGACATTTCCAGTGATCCCCACCATGACAATCTTCTGACAGTTTATCTGGCTAATCATCTGACATTCTCTTCTGGGGGTGGTTAGTCGTGCATGGGCTTCCTCCGTGGTGCTAACCCTTTCGACTCTTTTGGTCGTCGGGTGCTCTTTCTCAAAAAAAGATCACGGACTTATTTCAAGTGATCCTCATCATGAGTAGCTTCTGACATTTCGAGTGATCCCCATTTCGAATGATCCCCACCAGGACTATCTTCGGACATGTTATCTGGCAAAGCTTCTGATATTTTCTCTAGCAAGCCTTGTGACATTCTACCTGACCTTTCTGCTAATGATGCTCCAGAAAGCAAATAAAAATTGTCTCCAGACCCCTTCGTGATGCTAATGATGCACTACTCGCGTCATTTACATCACTTGCATCACCAAACCGCTTTTTCGATCCTATTTTGATGCTTTCCTGGCCCTACTTTTTTTCGCTCTCCCCCACCAGGATCAGGGTTCGACCTCCAAAATATGCCCGAGTGCAATCAACCATTATTCACCTCGTTCACCCTAAGAACTCAAGCCTTGCCTACCGGCTGGCTTTCGTGATTATTTTTTTCTACGTCGAACAAACTATATAATTCAATTTCTTACTTACGCATCAGCCCTGGAATGCATGGGTTATCCTGGTATCCGACCAAAGAGCCCTAAAGCTTCACTTGCTGGAGGCCAGGAGGTTCATGAAAGCAGCTAGCCACGTAGCGGCCTATCTGTCGAATCAGGAGCTGGGCTGGACTACAAGTATCTGAAGAAGCTGAGATGAGGTGATGAACTGAGCTGAACTGAGCTGAACTGAGCTTCTAACGTGTGAGGTCAAAGCAGTAGACATGCTTAAATGAGTTTAAAATAGTTTAAAATGATCTGAAAGCGAGATCAAACGATAAGACAAATTCGCAAGGGTGATAGTTAGGTTGCGACACCATGAACCCATATTTGGTGGCATGACACAAGTGAAGTGAAGTGTTCGTGTGGGCGGAAATGGGACGAAGCAACATGAGATTGGAGTCGACAGTTTAGATGACATGAAAACTGGATGAACCTGTGATGAAACTGGAATATGTCTCATATTCTGCCGAAGGACTTGAAGGACTCATGGACAAACCACTCCTTAGGCGGCCTCGTCCACAAAAATAATGGCGGGCTTGGCTTCGCGGGCCATCTCGAAGAGGCTTCTAACCTTCAACGGTGTCACCAGTAACAAGAAGCTACTAGGAACAAGTGCATCGCTTCTAGTAACAAGTGCCTTACTAGTAGTAACAAGAAGCTAGCAGAAACAATAAGCTACTAGGAACAAGTGCACCCTTTTGAACTTTTCAAAGACTTTCATAGGTTCCCTTCCTTCATCTCTATGCCTGCAGCCTAAAATGGGGTATATACTGAGCATCAAGCTGCACCACTGGGGTCTCATGCAACAACATAAAAGTCAAGGGTGGTTGACAATTTGACTCAAATAAACAATGCATGAATGTGACTTGGTGGCAAGGCTTGTGATACATTTCTAAAACTAAAAGTATTGTTGCAAGGTGTGAGGGCAGGGAAAACAACGACTTAAAAGATGTGTGTACCAAGTACAGGGGCAAATCTATGGCACTTTCATTGAAACTGTTGAAGTAGCTGAGATGGGTTATCAATGTAAATTTTACCAATTGAACTGCAAACAAGTCTGATGTCGCTTTTGTTGCTGCAATATGTTTGAATGCTTATACGTGCACACAGTGTCTTCGTTTGTTGGGACACCGATGCGCTTCAAGCTGAATGCCCAACATACACAAATGCAAGAATTTTAACATGAAGCAACCTCAATTTCCAATAGTGATGCTGCAAAGACGTAAATGCAGAAGGAATTATCGAAGTAGAGTTACAAACACCCAACTTTGCCGTGTTTTTTGTGGCTATGGGCTGCAATGCAGTACATCATCAAGTGGAATCACAAACAAGAATGTGATATACGAACAATTGTTCACTGACTTAGTTAGAACCGTTACTCGGAACGAATGGTCCCGGAGAAGACTCCTTTGAAGGTTTCTGTCCCTTCAAAATATATTTTGTAAATAGTTTTCAGGGGTGCTGTTGGTTTCTCGACTCTCATGTCCCAAAGGTTTGCAACACAGGTCCAACATGGTCCAACTACTCACTGACTTCCCTCTCTGGAAGCATCTGCACTGCACTGAGTCCTGCACCAGCTTCTCACTTTCCCCCATCCACTTGGAGACCTGGAACACTGCTCAAATGGCTGCAACAGGCCCTATGAATAAATCTGTGGTGGTCTATGGCACTATGGCGGTGTCCATGTCTGCTTATGAGCCTGATTTCCTGACCCTCTCTGAGCTGCTGACGAGGTCAGAAGAAGAGATGCTGAAAAAGGTGGCATCAGCCTCACCCGTCGAGCACCAGTTGAACACCTCTTTACCATTCTTTACCCATCTCCCCAGACTCCTGCGGGGATGACAACCACGCTTGGCTTTGGGGACGTGATTTTCTCCTATCGTATCTGCTCACAAGTGAGATGCCAAACCAGGGACTGATGATTATATATATAATTGATCAGTTTTGTCCTTGGAGGGACGCTGTGTTTGATAGTCTGGAAACATCCCATGCCCGTGCTTAAAGGCCCAGCGCCACCTCTGTTGCGCAAGCCTTCGCCAAGTAGGACTTCCTCCGCAGAACAAGGTATGCTGCTGGCATCATCCAGACTTCGCAGTTGCGAGACTGCAGGCCAAGGCCACTTGCAAAACATGGACCCCTCAATGTTGGCTGCAAAAGAAACTTTTATATCTTAAACTCATGGCAAAAAGAAAAGAAACACCCTCTTCTGATTGCATGCAGAGTGAGAGTGGTGAAATCCCAGGGCTCCCTGCCCTGTTCCAGGTGGTCCGTAAAGAAGAATTCCATGCCTAGGAAAACGCCGATCTTACAGTACAAGGGAGTCCGAATGGCAAAGAAGGTTCCCAAATTTTGGTTCGAACTTCCCTCATCTGTCATTATATAGTTTGAGCAGAAAAGCTGGGCTCCAGCAAAAATCTTACTGTGTGACGCTGGACTCTGTAATGATCTGATTAGAAAAAGGAACAAGTACTCCATGTTCGATCGATTGTACAAACATGTTCCATTAAATAGTAGTTTTTCCGTGAGACTTCACTCTGGGGCACAGTCCAGGGAACTCGCTTTCCAGTGAAAAGCTGCGGAAACCTTGCGGCATCCTACTCTTCATGTTCGATTCTTTGGGATGCAGTTGACAACGGCAAATTGATAGTGCCAGCAAAACAAAGTAGTAACAAGTGCCTCGCTAGTAGTAACAGGTGCCTTACTGGTAGTAACAAAAAGCTAGTAGTAACAAGCGCCTCGCTAGTAGTAAAAAATTACAGTATTGTTTGCAAAGCTATGCAAAAGCTGAGGCATCAGGCACCAGGCTTCACATCGTGTGAACTTCAGCTAGAAACCTTGTTCTCTGTGATGGATTACAGCTTTGAACACCTTCACTCTCCAAAATTGGCCCCGCCTGGTTGGAAGTATCACAGTCTCCTGCAAAGCGCCCTTGGCGCCCTGAGCAACCGCTTTAGTTCCACGGATTCCACAAGCTCTGATCCAGTGCGTATCTTGCTCCGGAGCTTGAATCACCCGACCCAGGCGACGGAGACCTAGAATAGGCGCATCAAATCTTATTGAAAGGCCACGAAAGGCCATGACATGCCATGACAGGCCTCATTCCTCGTTGCAAATCCTTTTGTGGCATGTGTATATTCACTTCTCAGTTCATCCGAAGCAGTTCAAGCGGGGTGGCCTCCAAACCTGCCACGTCATCCCACCTTGTTCAAAACAGGATGGGCTTGGTTTTGATGCACAAAATTCTGAAACGGCCACGAAGAGCCTGTCAAGAAATACAGTAGCTGTTCGATTGGGACTTGGGGTGCATCCAGTTGGGATATGTTGGGATCATATTCATCAAACATCGGCTGATTCCAAACCTCCGCTTGCAACTTACGGAACTTACGTTGCATACTTTCCATCGCAAAGTGCTGAGAGAATCACTTGATGTTGGGCTTGCTGGTCATGATGGCGCCCTCTAAGCCTTTCCTGGGTCACGTCGTAATGACGAGAAGTCTTGTCTGGACAGAGAAAGGAGTCACTTGGTCGAGTCTGGGAATGGAGTCCTGGATCTGCGGAATGACAAATGGAGCAGCTTTTGTCGGACTATCTAAGCGAAAGCACACTCCAAATGCTCTCCATGTACAGATGTCCAGATGAAGAGTTCGTGGTACAACATGATAATTGCTTGGAATTCTGGATTTGTCAATACGAGTAGAACTCTAAGCCCGACTCTTCAGCTTTTCTTTTTCTTTATCTTCTGCATCTTCAGCGGTCCCTCAAGTCAAAACAAGGAAAACAAGTGGCAGCAGGTCAGCAGGTCGCGGACATCTGATTGAGGATGGGAGCAAAGGGCATTCGCAAATACTCATAAACACAAAGCAAAGTGAACATAGACCTTACATAGTACAGAAAGATGCTCTTTTGGATGCCTGTTGCGAAGGGTATACTGTAGCTGTTCATGTTTTAATTATTTCTCGTGTGCATTTTGCCAACGATGTACAACTCGGTAACAGGATGTAACAGGTATCATCGCGTCAATTATCGTCAAAGCATTCCTCTCCTTTGACCAAAAGTGACAAAACATGACAAAAAGGAGTCTACTTCAACATCCAAACGCAAAGCAACTAAGCCCAATCCCAGTTTTCACCTGAAGCTGGTGGCGCTTGAGTAGCAGCACCAGCATAGCCACCACCCGAGGGGCTGGTGGGCCCCTGACGCAGGATCGCACGTGCCCAATGCACCCACCTATTATTTGTTATTATCTATTGTTCCATGTAAGCAAGGCATATCAAGGCCATCCAACATCTACTTGGCGAAACATGCAAGGGAATACTCGACGGCTGCCCACCCAAGATACTCACAATGCACCACACCCGAGCGCCGGCACACGCTCGCACAATACGAATCTCAAGCCGTCGCACAAGTCTAGAGTTGAAGTGTGCGGTCCTGAGTACTTCGGCCTAGTTGGGCCCAGTTGGCCTTCTGACATCGTACTCAAACCAGCGTCCACATGCATCCAATGGAAGACTTCCGTTTCGCGTGTCATCTGCCTTGACACCATTGCTGATATTTTTCTTCAGGTTTTCAGCCTTCAATGCTCAGGCTATCGATTGACACGGCAACAAACTCCAGAGCTGTTGAGTGTGTTATGGACAACAAAGTCCAAACAGATTACCTGATGAGTGCAATTTGAATTGGTGCAAGTTGCTAATGCATGAACAAACCAAAGGCAATGAGCTCCACACAGCTCATGGCAGTTCCAAAACAACATGCCAATTTTGCAGCAGTGTATTTGATGCGACCAATCCTCCATATGTACCCATAAGCACCCGTGATCATACACACTGCCAAAGAAGCTCACAAAAGAAGGTAAGCCCCTTCCTAAAAGACCAAACAACATGACTTCGAAAGGTGTCCGGATTACAATCACGCTTCCCCTTGGGCCCCAGACTCTGGTCACCACATCTTCTAATCTTTCACGGACCATTTCCTGGCGAATGACCAAGCTGCCATTACTCATGAGCTTCTCTGTTTGCAAAGACAATCGCGCAACGCTCGCCTTGATGCGCTGGTTGGCCTCCCACCTTGGAAAACAGCAAGCATCTTAAGTGGCATGACACCTCTGTGCTTCCAGCACTTGGAGCACGACACAAGTCAAAGTGATCAAAGTGACCCCCTTTACGCACACTAGTCGAGTCGACGAGAGGCTCCGAGTCCTCTTCGAGGGCAAATGAAAAAAGAAGCCAAGGAAACCACAAAGAAATAGTCTTCAATCTCCTCTCCGACAATAGTTGCAAGTTGCCAATGCAAATCAATGCAAGTAAGGCCGAGCGACTTCCAAACGAAGGTAAAGACCTGTGCACTGCTTTGGTATTCTCGCAATGCCTCCTTTCGGGTGCATGGCAAATCCATAACAAGCATGATTCGTGGTTGTGCATGAAGGCTTCACTCTTGGTGCCCGTTAGCTATTCAATGATAACTGATGACTATACAGGCCAATGCCTATTATTAGGTTCTGTCTTCCCAGCGCACCCAGTTCAGGGTAAGCCAGCCAGATCCAGGCCAATGAACCAAACGATGGGTGCCTCAGTCGGGGGGAGCTTCAAAGAATCTTGAGCTATCCTGCGTCCTACCTAGGAGCGTCCTATCGCCCTTACTTAATTAAGTAGGTGGTCTCTACTTAATTAAGTAATAGGAGGGCAGACCGCAGCCTCAAAAAATAAGTTGTTACCTCAATGCAAAGAGGCGAGTCCTCCAGCTGTCCTGCGCTTTCCAGCTGGCGTGCCTCTCAGTTTGGACTGCTGGGGCTTTGGAGGGACGAAGCTGTCAATACGAGCATGCCAATGACAAGAGCTGGGGAAACATGATTACTGAAGGGGAAACACTGTCTTCAATGTATTTCAATGTTACAAGCATGGGAACTGCTGATTTGCCATGATTGGCCTACCTCAAGCAAACAAGTTCAAACACTCACTATCAACGGCACTTCGACATTGATCACAACAGCAACCTGTTGAACTTGCGTAGCCTTCTTCAATGGCAATGAGCGACCCTGCCCGTCTCCTGTATCCTAAGGAACTCAAACAACATCATAAAGGTTTATACAAAGGGCGTATATAACAGTTTTTGTTCCATTGCAATGGCAACAGGGATGGACTTGGTGGAAATGCCACAAGGATGATATAGTTTTAAAGAATATGACTTATGTCAAGATGCCAACAGCATGGTCCTTTTGTCATTCTCGCATCCGGGTCGGATGTCGGGAATGCAAGCTGGGCACCAGGTGCTTTTGCATGCAGGCTAGTCTGCCAAAGTCATTGTACCCAGCTGGCAAGTCATACTGAGTCCAAAACCTAAGTCAAACACCACCATGAAATTGTTGGGTCATCTGTTCACCATAGCCCAGTCAATATCATGAAGGAAGTTGCAATGTCCAGATAAGGCGCACTCTGATAGCAAGTCAGCAAGTATTAATAATAATCGGTCTACCTGAGTCTCAAAATTCATCGGACCTTTCTAGATCCGAAACCAAAAGTGATATTGTGTCTCAAAACCAAAGTTTCAATAATTACGGTCCGCTGCTGCAAACAAAGTGATGGAATTTGGTTTTAGAGAACGCATCGGTTGTTTTTGAATCTCAAAAGGCGCGACGCCTATTCTTGAAATTACAGCGCAATCATTCCATTCCCAGCGTAGCAGTGGGGGTTGTTTGTGTGTTAGCACAGCATGGCAGACCACACTTTCATGCAAAACCGACCTGCAAATTGGGCAACAACCAGCAACGCTTGCTGGTATCCTAAGAGATGTTAGCCGCTGCTGTGATCGGCCAGTAGTCACATCAAAAAAATGGACTCCTTGTTGCACAGTCGGAAGTCGTTCCAAACCTGCTGGCTTTGCCAAGCAAGGACAGAACCAATGCATCAAACCGTCTCATCTAGCATCAGAACCTGGAAAGCTGAGGTCAAATTGTTGCTTGTCCAGCGAGCTTGGGTCAAAAGCACACATTTCTGTTTTGCTGAATCTGTTTTGTCGTTGCACATAGTGACTGATGTGACTGTTAAACACAGTTCTTTTCGAGACGCACCAATAGTTCCATTGCCATCTGCAAAAACAGTCAGCCTACACTTTTTGCTTCTTGGGCCCCAAGCGCGGCAAAAAAAATTGTGGCTAGTTGCCAAGTTGGCTCCTCTGAAGGCGGTCTGATTTAGGGCGACGTTTCCCAGGTTTGACGAGCAAAACAGTATCCCCTGTATGCTTAAAGGTGGCTTAATTAAAGGAGCTTCGTAGTGGGGACACCTATATGCGCAATGATATAATCATACTGCATTCATAGAACAATGACGATGTTTAATGTGTAACTAATATATACTTTTATGCCACCCCCCGGACCCGCACTTTGAATGATTGATGTCAGGAGTGCAGACTTGAGCTTCAGATTGCAAGGGGTGATGTCGGAGGAATCGTTAATTTAATGCACGAGCAAAGGTTGCCTGTTCCTGTCGCACCGTCCAAGTGTTCAAATGAAAGCTGCATGTTCAATTGCAAGGCCCAATGGTTCAGACGACAATTGCATGCTCCTGTTGCAAGGTGACACGCAAATACACGCTGTTGAGAGTGGGCCCTGCTTGGGCGCCCTGGCTTAAAATCACGCCGGATCTACATAACTTCCACGCGATCAAAGATCTGCGTGCCCGCTTTGATCTTTCACCACCCTGCCTGTGTGGAGCAAGGTGTGTTTGCGCAAGGCCACGTATTTGGGCACGTCATGTCATCAGTTTCCACAGCCACGATGAGCGAGCAAAAGGACGAAAGTGAGGTAAGAAGTGCTTGATAGCAAAGCTGTGACACCAACATGCTAAATGCAGTGCCACACTTGGAGCCGTGTCAAAATGTCAGTCGCATGCCTCAAAGATATATACATATATATACATATACACACACATAGTCAGAGTCATATGAGCAAGACTAAGACTAAGAAAGGAAAAGGAATGTCCCGGTTGAACATCCCGTCGGCTGCGTGGACGTTTAAGAGTGTGCCTTCCAAAAGAACACTGGTCACAGGTCTCCAGCTTCTCACAACGTGTGAGACCTTCACACTCCTCTCTGAATCCTGCATCCTAGTGGAACTGCGCATTCGGGAGGTAACCAGAGTTTGCAGTCCACATAGAATTGAATGAAGAGAAACAATATCAGGGTATCACACAAAGCATGGTGCAGAGTGTTAGAGAAGAAGGCAAAAACTCAAACACTTCGAGTCGAAAGGGCGCTTGATGTAAACATGAAGTCACTGCAGGCCACCTGATACAAAGTACTCAAACGACATGGAGTAATGCACAGATGTACTTAGAAGATGTCAGACTCAAAGGTTGTTCTCGTATTGTACGCGTACAAGCCTGGGGACTCCCAAAACAACATCTTATATCCACGGTTGAGCTTGTGTAATATTGGTGCATTGAGGATTCAACCTTGAACAAAAAATGTGATGTTGAGTCCCCCAGAAACTCAGATCTTGGATCCAGGAACGTACACAAGTATAGCATCCCAAAGTTCATATTCACCGTATATGTTCAAGCATTATCTAAATTATGAATAACAAATAGATAAATGTACATATGTCTACAGTAATTGCAAAAATGACCTAGCTTCACCTGCGGTCAGCAAGGGGGGGCCGGGTGATCCTGAGGTGGGGAGGAAACTAACTTTTAAACACCCATCAATTGTTTAAATATGATTGATTATATATATAAATGAACATAGAGGTCCTGGGGGTTACTGTATGTATGATTAATCATAGGCCTGATTTGATGTCAGCTATCGATGTCCAGTGCATCTGAAGAAGTTTATGTCCGGATTAGACCATCGGTCCAGTCCTCGTATTCTCAATTGGGATCATTGGCACCTTCGCAGGATTGGCCTCGCAAAGGTGTTGCTGGCACATTGTTCCAGCTGTCTTTTTGAAATGCGTGAACTTTCGAACGTGTTTTTCACCATGCTCGGAGTGGTCTTGAGAGAGCTTGCATGAACATGCCTTACTTGCACCACCCAAATCATCTCAAGATCGTTGGTGGAATCCCCACAAAACATCCATCCAGAAGGGTACTTGATTGAATCCAAGTGGATCTTGGAGTTCTTGGCCCAATCTCACATGCAATTCCTATTATCTACGTCTACGTAGCCGAGAACCTCGAGGTCTTTCATGCGTCGTCTATCAGTAGATTTGGGAGTCTGGTGTGGCAGTCCCGAGTGCTGGACCTCCTCCAAGAGCAAAGTTGGTAGCCTGGACATCAAACAAGCACAGAACCAACATGAACCAACCCCCTCTCTCCAGTGTTCACATTGGGCTGAATTAAAAGCTTGAAATTGTCGCAAGCCATGACAACATGCATTCAACATAAAGCTAGTCTTTCAATGCACATGTTGAACAAAAATGTGTCAAAGGCTTTTGCATCCCGGCTCTGTGTTCAATGCAGAACTTGTGGGTGCTCAACATCAAGAGATATCAAGAGAATCAATTTGAATCGATATGTTGTACGATACTATCGTCATCTATCATCTATCTTCAAAGCAAAACAGCGCACCATAGCACACCAATTCACCCTGCAATTGAACCCCCAATGCCCCTTTGCAAACTGCCAGCTCCACCGCGTCTCACTTGATGTCTCAAATGCAGGGGCTGCGGAGGTTGTAGTCGATGTAAGAGCAGCTTGTCTCTTCAACTGTTGAATATGCTCCTGGAAAGTGATGCGCAAGGATTTGAAACAACGTGGAAGGCTGAAAACGCTGAGAACTTCTGACCAGGGTCAATGCCCCTGAACGTCTACTCTCACACTTGCCGTCTTTAGAGGCGCATGTGTCATAGCGGCAGGGTGATTGAATTGCAACAAGAAGCCAACAGTGTCAAGTCATTGTGCAAATAAGTCATCCGATGTGCCTGGCACTACCGCTGTTGTTGGTCCCCAAAAAGGCTTGAACATGTCATACATATATTTCGTCTAGACTACCGTGCATTCCAGTACCTTCTGCGCAGAGCCTGCAAAAATTGCATGTTAGACTAGAACTGCTACAGCGACCATACAGTGCTTCGTGGTCTGGTTGTTTTGAGCAGTCGTCAAACGCCCCTAGCAAACTATACTTATTGAGTATGCAGCTGCAGAAAGCGTGACCAAACTCTGGCTTCAGTGACGAGTGTCCACGTATATAGTCAATGACAATACCTGATGATCTTGAGCTCCTCGTAGGTGATCTTATGCTGTCTCATCAGTTTCCTGAACACTGGTGGGTGAATCCATTTACATCTCAAGCTTCGTACATCGGTTTACTCAAACAAATCAAGCCGCCTGGCCCAACTGTGCCTGATACGAATGTCCTTGACGTGTTTCCTTTAAATTCATGCCATGCACCCTACTTGCACAGTTGCTGTGCAATCTCAAGACTGCTCAAGGCTCAAAGGAGTCTTGAGTATGTGATGCGGTTCAAAACATATAAATTTCATTAAACTCCAACAGCTGGCTTTGCTTAACGGTTGGACTGATGGGGACAAATCGTTTGCTGGACTCCCATGTCATCCGGATAGCTATCTTGTCAAGGTGGGAGCCAGATTGTTCTGCATTCGAGGGTGGATGGCAAAACCGAATACACTACGTATCTATCTGTCTATCTGTCAATCCATCTATCCATCCATCCATCCATCTCATGTGTAATAACTGCACTACACTTGCACACAACAAAACTGACGTAGTTTTGCATTACCCGTGTCACCCTTGCGAGTTCTGTGACAATCCAAAAGCCCGGAGCCGTTTCTCGAGTTCAGCCAATAGTCTGACAAACTGGCTTAGGACCAAGCAAGCAGTCTTGCTCAACCTGTCTGTAGAACGGATCTCCTGCGAGAGCAAGAGCAAACTTTACCTACAAGTCTACAAGTTGAGATCCTCAAGCACGGGATCTTACTTTCATCTGTGTCCGTGTGGTAACAAGAACCTGTACTTCCTTGCCACTTGTGGGTAACCCAGGCTTCCAATCTGCACCTGTCCTTTTTACTTTGGCTTCCT